GATTTGAATGCCAGATTAATCTGGAGGGAAAACCATGAAGAAAAAGTCAAGCCTCGTGAAAATCGGATGAGATTTGACCAAGTTATGGGTGTGGGAAATTTTGACCCATGTCTATATAGGAATCTTGGGGTAAGATTTCGACATGAAATTCGACTAAAATATACTTATGTAGATTTGAATGCTCGATTAATTTGGAGGGAAAACCATGAAGAAAAAGCCAAGCCTCGTGAAAATCGGATGAGATTTGACCAAGTTATGGGTGTGGGAAATTTTGACCCATGTCTATATAGGAATCTTGGGGTAAGATTTTGACATGAAATTCGACCAAACAATATGTGTTCAGATTTGAATGCCAGATTAATCTGGAGGGAAAACCATGAAGAAAAAGCCAAGCCTCGTGAAAATCGGATGAGATTTGACCAAGTTATGGGTGTGGGAAATTTTGACCCATATCTATATAGGAATCTTGGTGTAAGATTTTGACATGAAATTCGACTAAAAAACATGTGTTCAGATTTTAATGCCAGATTGATTTGGAGGGAAAACCATGAAGAAAAAGCCAAACCTCGTGAAAATCGGATGAGATTTGACCAAGTTATGGGTGTGGGAAATTTTGACCCATGTCTATATAGGAATCTTGGGGTAAGATTTTGAAATGAAATTTGACCAAAAAATATGTGTTCAGATTTGAATGCCAGATTAATCTGGAGAGAAAACCATGAAGAAAAAGCCAAGCCTCGTGAAAATCGGATGAGATTTGACCAAGTTATGGGTGTGGGAAATTTTGACCCATGTTTATATAGGAATCTTGGGGTAAGATTTCGACATGAAATTCGACTAAAATATACTTATGTAGATTTGAATGCTCGATTAATCTGGAGGGAAAACCATGAAGAAAAAGCCAAGCCTCGTGAAAATCGGTTGAGATTTGACCAAGTTATGGGTGTGGGAAATTTTGACCCATGTCTATATAGGAATCTTGGTGTAAGATTTTGACATGAAATTCGACTAAAAAACATGTGTTCAGATTTGAATGCCAGATTGATTTGGAGGGAAAACCATGAAGAAAAAGCCAAGCCTCGTGAAAATCGGATGAGATTTGACCAAGTTATGGGTGTGGGAAATTTTGACCCATGTCTATATAGGAATCTTGGGGTAAGATTTTGACATGAAATTCGACCAAACAATATGTGTTCAGATTTGAATGCCAGATTAATCTGGAGGGAAAACCATGAAGAAAAAGCCAAGCCTCGTGAAAATCGGTTGAGATTTGACCAAGTTATGGGTGTGGGAAATTTTGACCCATGTCTATATAGGAATCTTGAGGTACGATTTTGACATGAAATTCGACTAAAAAACATGTGTTCAGATTTGAATGCCAGATTGATTTGGAGGGAAAACCATGAAGAAAAAGCCAAGCCTCGTGAAAATCGGATGAGATTTGACCAAGTTATGGGTGTGGGAAATATTGACCCATGTCTATATAGGAATCTTGGTGTAAGATTTTGACATGAAATTCGACTAAAAAACATGTGTTCAGATTTGAATGCTAGATTAATCTGGAGGGAAAAACGTGAAGAAAAAGCCAAGCCTCGTGAAAATCGGATGAGATTTGACCGAGTTATTGGAATGGGAATTTTGACGACTAAAATATACTTATGTAGATTTGAATGCTCGATTAATTTGGAGGGAAAACCATGAAGAAAAAGCCAAGTCTCGTGAAAATCGGTTCAGTTTTGACCGAGTTATGAGTGTGGTAAAATGTGAAATATGTAACCCATAGAACTTTACTTTTTTTATACTCTGAACCCATTCAAAATGGGTAAAAAGGGTATATTGTATTTGTGCAAATTCCAAATGTGTGTAATAGGCAGAAGGAAGCATCTCCGACCCCATAAAGTATATACATTCTTGATCAGCATCAACAGCCGAATCGATCTAGCCATGTCTGCCTGTTCGTCTATCCGTCTGTCCGTATGTATGAACACAAGGATCTCAGAACCTACTTGATATTCAAATGTAGGTGCTCCTAGTGCCTGCGCAGATCGAGTTTGTTTCCGATAATCGATAACCTACTCCGTTTCCAAGCAATCGGTAGGAATCGATATCGATATCCTGTTTTTTGGGCAATTTTGGTAAATAATAAGAGCTTGAGTCACCAAACTTGACATATAGCTTCTAAAATAGATTATATATATATGCATTTGATGTTGGAAGAAGAGGGTTCAGGGTATCCCCTAGTCGGGAGCTCCCCACGAGAATCTCTTACTTGTTTTATATTTAAACAGCCTACAGGGCGCACAAGAATCAAAATTAGTTTCTTCTTTAATAATTCAATAAAAAAGTTAGGTTAGGTTAAGTTGGCTGTGAGAACCACCCTGTTTGAATTTATTTGCCGTGTTGTGAAATGGTGAAAATAGTTCTCATTTAAAGAACACTTTAAATGAAACTCAAGTTCTTTTCTTGAACTAACAAGACGCTTAAAAGCCCGAAAGTGAAGAGTAATTTTTCAACATGATATTGTACATATATAATATTCATTTGGCAATCGCATCACATAGACTTCGCATTATTCTTCTTCAGCAAACTGCAAACGCTGTCATTTTGCGGCTAGAACTATTTTATGGCACTGTCAGTTCGTCTTTTGTGTGTGAAACAGAGCAGCCCGGCTTTTTGTGCTTGACTTATTGGTGGAAAGTTTGCAGTAGAGACCGGACAGGAAAACGCATGTGGGTGGTGTATTTGAAAGAATATTGCACCCAAAAGAGTAAAATAAAATATTATTTCAGTGCCTGACATACGTTTGGCTGCAATAAGTTCAACTCATGCGAATTGTTGCTGAGAGCCAATTTATTTATTTAGTACACGCAATTTAGAAATAAGCTCAACGGTCAATTGCTTGCATACTTAAGCCTTAAGCCGGAGTGCCAAAAATTTCTGAGAAAATGAAAAATTATTTCAAGAGTTGAAAACAATACAAAATGTAGATGAGCGAAAGTACAGACAACTTAAAAATTGTATAGGCAGGGAATTGTGATTTTATCATGAAATAAAGAAGAAGATTTGCATTGTTATAAAATTTCCTAAATTACAACTTAACAGAGAAAACTTTTTGTCTGAGTGCGTATTTAAGCTTCAGCTTTTGTTGTTTTTGCTAAAGTCCATTAATTGAAGCTTAGGCCTTAAAAAATGGCTCGGCAAATATTTTGTCAATAATAAAAGAAATTTTGTTGGAATTTCTTAACAATTTTCTTGTGCTGGCGCTTGTTTCTCCTTTTTAAAGTACTTCAGCATTTCGGGCAGCTCTTTAAATATTACGCATACGCCACATTGTTAATAAATTGCCCAAATTATAGACACAGGCTTCGCGCTTCAAGGTTTTCAAGCGAAAAACAAAACTACAAAACGGCTAAAGAAAAAAGAAATTTTAAGGGAGGCCCTAAAAAATGTTGAAGTGGCAACAGCTGAGGCATCAACGGTCCGCCAAGTGGCAACGCCTGCCGGCGACGGCATCTTAATAAATTTCCCCAGCAACACTTTGGCGTTATTAATACTTGAGTAAATGGGTCGCCGAAGAGAGAGGGAGACAGCGCACGAGAGCGAGAGTGGGAGAGTGGAAGAGTGGGAGAGAGGGAGAGAGCGCATCTAAAAACCGCGAGCCAACGCAAAGGAAAACGGACAATGGCAAGAGGAAGAGTTTGGCTAACGGAAACATGAACGAGGTATGGCAACTCCGAACGGTAGACGCTGCTTAATTACACGCTTTGCCCAACAGGGGGCGTGCATGTGTGCGTGACAGGACGTGCAGAGCCAGAAATAACGCGTATTTCCGCGATAATTAATGAAGGCAGCAGCATTTCCCAGCAGCTATTTCCCGCTGATATCTCAAGCTAGTTTAAAGTTGGCTTCAACCTGCAGCCATTAAATTCGATTACGCAATTAATTGTTAAGCGGAAAGGGGTGGAGGGGGGGGGGGAGAATAGGTCGCATAAAAGGGGGGGCACATGTCAGCATGTTTGGCAAACTATGCTTAATTAAACAAATTCCCAGAAATTGAAATTCTAATGAACCTTCAGTTCAGTTCGAGTTGGTTCCCGTTCAGTTTCTATTCGTTTCGTTTCGGATCTGTTCAGTTTCTGGTAGTTCAACATTCCAGGTAGTACAGCATTCCACCTGAGCCAATTTAAATGAACATTCTTGAGGTACAAATAAGAAGAGTGCTTCACTTGAGTGTGAGCGACTAGCAGATACCATGTAAGCAGCTTGTTAAAAAACTGATGTGATTTTTATCCTATTTTTATGAAATTGTTAATGTATATATAAATGTGTATATCATGCTTTCTAGATTAACAAACCTTTATAACTATATTTTGTCTCTGCTTTTTCACATATTTAACCTTTATCAATATGCCCCTTTCGAATGGGCTACAGGGTATTGACTTGTACGCACTTTTGCCTAATGATGTCTGCGCTCAAGTCGTGCATAAGACACATGGACACGCCACTTGGTGGCACCTGTAGGCACTAGGAACCCATACCCACACCCACACACACACACACACACACACACACACACACACACACACACACACACACACACACACACACACACACACACACACACACATAGGCACAGTCACTGGCACAGCCCACACATGTATTGTCATTGCCTGTCAGAGCAATAATCCAACCAGTTTCAGACATGTTAAGTCATTTTGTGGACGCAGACACACACCACACACACACACCGCATACACACCGCACACACACACGTACTGCCACGCCCAGCTGCCTTGTTTATTTGGTTGTTAAATAATACGCCTGGCATTCAAATGGTTTTTGCGAAGGCTCCGGAGTCGTTGTGGCATCAGTTGAAATTAATTTCTAGACAAGGTAAGCTATAAAGGCTAGCTCCAACCGGGGCCTGAGACCCTTTGACTGCAGGTAAATTGAAATGGCCGACATTAATTTGCAACTAAAAGGTAGACAGCAGCCTTGGTACAGTGAAGCAACAGCTGGGCATGCCATTAGCTGAACTGCTTGAAAAGCGCTTTATTCACAAAACGGCATTCAATTGAGATCTGCGCCAAATTCGCAGCGGCACTCGAGTATCTCGGGCTCGTAAACAAGGCCGCGAAATTCGCAGAAAATCTTAAAGATCAGCTGCTCCTTCTTCTCGTAGTAGTCGTCGGCATTGCGATCCAAGGCGTCCACCTCCGCCTTATAGATCAACAGCTGCTGTCGCATGCGCAGCGTCTCCTCGTCGCAATTGAAGCTATCGTCCGGATGCGGCTCCAGCGTCAGCAGCGACAGCATGAACGACAAGTATAGCTGGAAATACCAGAGCTATCAGCAGTTCGACTCGCGTTTCTCCAATACTCGGCACAACACTCACCTCCTTCTCCAGGGGCAGGTCGTGTGTCAATATGTTCTCATCGTGGGCATTCTCCACGGCATATGTGATGTCCATCCTATTTTCTTGGCTCTTCTTTTGGCTCTCTAGCGACTCCGCGGGTGTGGCTGCCAGTTGGCGACTGTTGCCGTTCGCCTATGGCTTTTCATATTTTATTGCCCTGTTTATGTTTACATTATCCGTGCCAGTGTGCGCCCGAGTGTGTGTGTGTGTGTGTGTGTGGCGCGAGCTTGAGCTGAGCTCTGCTAAATATACCCTGTACTCAGACAAGCGACTGCAAGTGTTGTGCATTTACATGTTAATTATGACATGCGAAGGTCTAGTATATACTCTATACTACCATACAATATACTTTATACAATCTGGTTGTATTGACTATTTCAAAAGTTATATAAAGTGAGGTAACATTTATATAAGAGTCGTAAAAGCCTTTAATATATGTGTTCAGGGGTACTTTAGAACTAAAACAGAGTAGCTTCTATTCGGTCATTTTCGAGTTGCTTGGTTTTTATATATTCTAATTATACTCTTGCAGAGGGCATATTTATTTTGTTGGGAAATGTGTGACGCCTTTATTTGTATGCTAAAAGTCTTATTGAATATTATTATATTATATAGTTTAAATAGTTCCGATTGAGTATTTATATTAAAATACTCAGAATTACGATTGAGGGTATTTGATGTTCGGTATTTCGATTAAAATTGTGATTTTATAGACAACATATTCTTGGTCAACATCTTTACTCATATGTCTTAGTTTTGTAAGAGAAAGTGGAACCAAATGAAGTTCTAAAAGAAGCTTCGAATTAATCGAATTAATTTTTGAGAAGACATATATTATCTATGGAATATCTGGAAGAGTTTAAAGTTCTTGCGATTCTGAACTACAAATGTGCTCTTGAAATGAAGGATTATTAGCTTATTACTATATCTAACACATACATAGAAGATATGACAAAAAATAGAAGAACAAGAGATTCAAAAAGCACTTGCATAAAAAAGCGCACAGAAAGTAACATTTTGAGTAGAAACAGATCGTATGACAAGTAGACAGAACTGAGAACGGAAACAACTGTGACCAGGGAACAGTACGCAGGGACAGGGACTGTGGGATGGGAACAGAGAACAGAAATGGGTATGAAAGTCAAGTTGGTGCAGTAAAAAGTAAATAAAATTGACACCCGCACAAAAGGGAGAAACATAAACCGAAAAAAGTGTAAACAAACAACAAGCGGCGCTTAGGCAAATAAATATTGCATGTGGCTGAGGAGTTGCGGCGGAGTGGGGCAGAGGGGCAGAGGGGGAGAGGGGGATGTGGTGAGTGGGAAGAGGCTAACCGCAGACAGGCCAAAGCAAATGCATAGCACATGCAAACAATGCGAGCGAAAGAGATAGCGAGCAGCGAAAGAGAAGGAGGGGTGAGGGGGGAAGAAGAGCCACAGAAACCGAATAAAATGCTATGCGATGCGGCGAACTAAAGTGGAACTGCCAGCTGCAAGGCTAAAAATGCTCGTACTCGCATATTTCTTTTTTTTATGAATTTTACATTTTGTTTATATGTGTATGTGTATTTATGGAGATTATATGCAGAGCAATGCTGTGCTGCACAAGCAGCCCATATACTGCGTGTGTGTGCGAGAGCGAGACGGGGCGAGCAGGGAGCACGTGCAGCAGCAGCAGCAGAAGAAGAAGCAGCAGCAGCACAGGTTGCACAAAATGGCGGCGTCAAATGTGCAAAGTAATAAAATTTAAGTGTTGGATATTGAAAAAAAAAGCTCGTACTGATTCCCCTGGTTAGTGTTAGTAAATATTAAAAAACAACAGAAAACATGTAAGATGTGGGATAAAAACTTGTCTGCTGGCAAAGCTAAAATGCCTTAATTCGAAATTTTACTTAAGATTAAAGTGTTTTTGTTTTTCTTTTTTGTTTAGGAATTGTCAAAGCTGAACTAGGATTTATTTTATATATTTTCGTTTATTTTAAAGAGGTTTTCTTTCTTATTTCTCAACATTTACCCAAGAAAAATAATAAATAAATGAATGCAATTTGAAATAATTAATCTATACTTTCTTTTTGTAAGTAAAAAAACTCAATTTTATGTATAAATTTATTTAAGGCCTTCAACTATGCGCTGCCAGTCAAAACACAAAATATTGTGCTCGATAGAAACTAACATGAAAACTCTTGTCTGGCGGGCGGGAAATGTGGCGGAAAGCAATTTTCGAGCGCTTTCCAAACGCTTTGAGCGTAAAGCTGACATGGAAGTTGTTCGATAAGATCGCAGAATAGAGTTAAGTCTGTGCCGCGTTGTGTGGCAACAAATAATGGAATTGGCTTACATATGAATATCTATATATATATATATATATATATATATATATAGACCGAACAAATAGGAGTGGAGGAGAAGCAGAAAGTGTTGAATTGAATACTTTTCGCAAATAAGTTTGTTGTAAATAGATAAAAATTCTAAGGTTGGGACTACCCGACTGGGAGATACCCTCAAGCCAAATGACAACTTCTTCTTCTCGACTTCTTCTTCTCTAAGCCCCGCAATTAGTGAGAAATGTTCCAGTCTGTTCCACACTAGTAGATACCCTGCAGCAGGAAACAAATAATAGAAAATGCTCTATTGAATAACTTCGGCGCTTAAGGTCCGATCTTAATACATTCAGCATGCAGAATGAGGCATAGATAAACATAAGGCTCATCAGATTTATGCTGTAATAATCTATGTATATATTTAATTATTTATCTTTATTTATTTACATGCATTTATTAATTGCTTATTATTTTCCACGTAATATGCAAGGTTTCTTAAAAAACACACATTTTCCACTCACAAACTAGCTCAAGGCCTAAATGAAATTATAATTATTTGTATTTGCCCCGTAAGTTGTTTAGCGCAATACACTTAAAATCGTTGGGGGTTGTCACCAGTAAATGTTGCTTGCAAAGAAATTTAATTAAGCAATCAATGTCTTAATTAAAACGGCAAGTGCCTTGCCGAAGTCAAAGGCACAGGTAAGTTGTGAAGGCGAGTACGCGTATCAGATGCCACGGGCATGAGTAATGATTTTTGGTGTGCTCATGTAAATAACAAGATGCCAGATCGGGCATGCATGGGGGAAACAGGGAGGTTGGTGGGTTAGGGATAGGCACATACCAGTGCATAATATTTGTGTGCGTGTGTGCGAGTCAGGGGTGACAACATGCGGCGCCGACAACGAACGTCGTATCGAAAATGAAGGAAATGAAATAAATCAAGACTCATTAAACCGCAGAAGGAGCTGGCAAAAACCACAAGACGGCAGCTGCCAAGGCAATCCAAGTGTGCGTGTGTGTGTGTGTGTGTGTGAGTGTGTGCGTTTAGGTTATGTCAGCGCGCGCTAAAGCAAAGTTGACAGTTGTTGTCAACTTAATCATCGTCAACACACACACACGCACGCACACACACACAGACAGGCACATACGCACAGCTAAGTTATGCATTGACAAATACTTATCTACAAGCGGCGGCAACTTGAACTTAATTTCTAGCGATAAGCATAACTCGTCAGACATATTGCCAGCTCATTATGCGAGACTTCTCGCCCCACTCTCTCCACTTTCACATATGTGCGTGTGTGTGTGTGTGTGTGTGTGTGCGTACTGCCTATATCTGTCTGGCTATATATCTATTATGACAACGCCATTTTGGCGTCAACTTCCGTCTGTTCAGCGTCTTTTGTTGCCGCTGCTGCTGCTGCCGCTTAATAATAGCAAATTACACAAGTAATTAGTCACGCATTTAATTATTATTTATGGGCTTCTATCTCGCTCTTTCTTATGTGCTTGTGTATGTGTGTCTGTGTGTATTTGTTGTGGAAGTTTTTCTGTTTGGTTTTGTGTTTGCGACTGCTTGTAATTATCTAGTTGAATGCTTGTACTCGGTACTTTGATAATCTATGCATGCCGCCTCAATGGATAAACCTTAATCTGTTTATGGCTTATAAAAATATTCGTATGTGGGAATTGATAAGTGAACAGCTGTCATATAATTCTAGTTAATTTTCGACATATTCTCGATGCAGTTAATTTATTCATAACAAATTATGGACATTGAATATAAATTGTTGCTTTACTTAAGGCTTATTTACTTTGTTTTTCCCAAGACGATGACTTACGCAAAAATTCTGTACACGAACAAGTAAATTTCTCTTATGCTAATATGGCATCTATATCTATTATCGATAAATTGGAGTTAAGTCAGCTCTCGAGTTAGTCTTGCGATTTTTTCAATTCAATAATAAATAAGATATGCAAGTAAAGTCTCACAGTAATATTTATAAATATTTAAACATATGTTATATATATTTAAAAAAAGCTTGTCATTTATTGCGTGCAGAGTCGAAATCTCTTTAAGTTTTTAAATTAAAATTTCCAGATTTTAAAGGAGATTATGAAAAGGGTCTTGATGATATTATATGATATATGATATTAACTAAAATGAATGCAACTTAGATCTTAAACATTTGACGAAAATGTTCTCTGAAATTTAAATGGGATTTGTTGCGAAAAGAGAATATGAATTCTATTAAAAAGGGAGGAAAATTACCAAAAATAAATTTGGAGAAATAAATGCAACTTAAACTAGGAACTGCTCAAAATCAAATTCAATGAAAGGAAAATAGAAATAAAAACTCAAAAAAGTTTTACTAGGCAAAGTCTAAATAGTCTAGGCTTAGGCTAACCATATAATTGGATAGTTTCTTTTCAGATTGATTCAAATAGATTTCGTGTCGTGTCAAAAAAAATAGATGTTAGCCATTAATTATATATGCCTGGGTTGCCAGCTGTTGCCAATTAGGTTAAAGTTCGCTTCCGGTTCGAGAAAACTGCGTCACGTAATGCTGGCCAAAAAGTTTCATCGATTAAAAAGTTTTGCGTGGAAAGCGTATTATCAGGTCTGTTGTGATTTTTGTTTGTGGCCGCATTTTGTGCGGCGCCAGCTGCGGCAAGTTCTCAAAAGCATATTTGATTATTTGTTTGTTGCATAATAATTGGAAATGCCAGAACGCACACAAAATCAAATGTCTTGGCCCAAAGCAAAAGCGAAAGCA